CCTCTGTCTGAAGCCCAGGGCTGGCTGCCTCTGAGCTCACTCCCTACAGGTGCAGGGGAGAGGTCTGCAGGGCAGGGAGAAAGGGACCATTCAAGCCAACAGAGGCACAAATACAGGCCTCAGAGTTTCCACAGCAAGACTACAGAGCAGGCAGGTGGCCTCTTCCTGGAAAGAAAGGAAAACCTCAAACCAGGCCTGGCTTCCCCTGCTCTCCTTCCTCAGTGACCACTTTAAAAAAAAAAAAAAAAAGCAAAAAGTTACAGCGAATGTTCCATAATCCCCGAACAAAAGTCCACTGACATAAAAAAAAGAAAACAAATACATAAGTTAGGAAATGAAAATTGAAAAAAATGATGCAAAATGAAAAATAAGTCTATTTCTGCAAGGGAAACAACATCCAGAGGAAAAAACCGAAGGCAAAAACTCACGTGTGAACACACAGAGGAACCACACTATGCTCCAGAGGTCAGCAAACTTTCTATAAAGGGCCAGATAATGTTTTGGGCTTTGTCCCATTTACTCAACTCTGGAGGAGCGCAAGTACAGCCATGGGCAATATGTAAGTGAATGGGTGTGGCTGTGTGCCAATGAAACATATGGACTCTAAAAGGTGAATTCCTTGCTTTTTCTTTTTGGTACTAGAGATTGAATCCAGAGGCGTTTTACCACTGAGCTATATCCTCAGTCCTTTTTATGTATTTATTTTGAGGCAGGGTCTCACTAAGTTAGCCAAGGTTGGCCTTGAATTTGCAATCCTCCTGCCCTCGCCTCCCACACACATGTGATTACAGGAGTATGCCACCACACCCAGCTCATTTAAATAAAAAATATTTTTAGCTGTAGATGGACACAATGCCTTTATTTTATTTATTTATTTTTATGTGGTGCTAAGGATCAAATCCAGCGCCTCACACATACTAGGCAAGTGCTCTACCTCTAAGCTACTGCCTCAACCCCCAGCTCATTTTTTTTTAACTTCTCTTAACCACTTAAGAATGTAGAAATTGGGGTTGATGATGTAGCTCAGTGGCAGAATGCTTGCCTCACATACACAAGACCCTGGGTTTGATCCCCAGCACTACAAAAAAAAAAAAAAAAAGTGAAAATCATTCTTAGGCACAAGTTGTACAAAAAGAGGCAATGGGCTGGATCCGGCCTGTAGGTGAAGTGTGCCATCTCCTACTCTCTGCTTATTTCACTTCTATCCCAAGAATAGTCCCACGTCAGTATGGAGAGGTACACCTCATTTTTCTGTACTGCTGCAAACTAACTCATTGAGAGGCTATGCCATAAGTGCACCATAGCTTGCTTGTATTTTTTTTTTTTTTAGTTCTGGGGATTAAACTCAGGGGCACTCTACCACTGAGCTATATCCCAAGTCCTTTTTATTTTAACACAGAGTCTTGCCAAATAGCCGAGGCTGGCCTCAAACTTGCAATCCTTCTGCCTCATTATGCAGAGTCTCTGGGATCACAGGCACACACTGTCTTGCTCAGCTATACCACAGCTTTCTATAGTTCAACATTTTGTTTTGAAATGATATACAATGCTATAATGAACATTCTTGTACATATGGTCAACTTTTATAAATATACTCTAAATAGTTTAAAGAGCTAAGAACACTTAAAATTTCTATGTTGCCAAATGTTCTTCCAGAAAAGCAGAATTTATTTTGTACTGCAAATGAGCCAGACTCTCTTTCCTTCATCCTTGGCAATCCTAGATGTCCTGATGGACATTCTAGAAACTTATCCTTCTCTAAAGACCCATGTACTTCCTTAGTGGAAAGTTTCTCACATTTAGAATCCTCTTCTACCTCTCAGCCATTAATACCTGCCCTGAGAAGCTACTTTGGTGTCTGTCTTCTTCTAAGTTTGAAGGGTGCAAGCCAGGCTGCCAGCCAAAGGGCAGAGAGTGATTTGAACTAATAGCCCAGATGTAATTGCTGCCCAATTACATGATGATTAAAAAATGCAAACCCCCTGGAGCTCCTGGACTCCAACCTCAGGCTACCTATAGGTCCTAGTCCCTTTTGCCTCCACATCTAGAATCTTCTAGTATCCACCTGACAGAAGCTCTGGAGATGGACATCTGAGTACCTGTCTCCCCTTAACTGCATGGATAAAAGAAAATTTAAGCCAAAAAGAACTGACTTTCCCAGAGTTCCAGCATCAGATATCCTCTCTGCTCAGCTGCTTCTCTTAGCATAGGGTTGTCCCCTACCAGTTCCCCCCTCCCACATATAGGCTTGAGGACTTTAGGGTATCTTCTCTCCCTGGCTGCTGGTATGAGATTATGACTAAATCCACCCCTTGCCATAGGCCACCACAGTCTCCCTGATCTGGCTCTGGGGTGGCAGCACAATGACCTTTAGATCAGTGGCTCTCCGGGACACCTGCACATACTGATGGATCAGATGTAGCTATGAGCCAGGTCTGCAGAATTGCCCAGCTCCCAGCAGCCTACAGCCCAGCTGTTCAATGGCTAGTCAATCCCGGTGTCCTGAAGGGAGCTCAGTAAAGCCTTGTGCACATGAACTCACAATTCAGCAGGCAAAGAGTTGAAAGTGACTGCTCCAAGGGACAAAGACTGCTGGGGGGCAGGGCAGAAGAGAGAAACAGGGAGCTCAGGACCACTAGGAAGGGTGGTAGTGTCTAACATCTGGGGCCAACTCTAGGTAAACCTGGGATGTCTCACAGGAACATAATTAGCAAAGCTAGGCATGGTGAGCTGTTTACCTGAAGAGGGATGAGGACCCTCACTTTGTCAGGGAAACTGTGGTTCCATGGCTTTTTCCATATGGCTTTCTCACAAACCCCAATACCTCACACTATGCTGCTGGCCCAAGGACAGGACATGGGGGAAAGTGGGGGTGGTGGACAGGAAACACACACACTGTTACGTGCTTCTGCATGCCAAGCTCTGTGCCTAGTTGCTTGCACAAGATGACAAACTGTCATCTCTGTCATCTGTGTCCCCAGCCAACACCTCATGGTACCTGACAAGCACGTGGGGGATGAGTAGCAATAATTATCCCTATTTTAAAATGAGAAGGGCAGGTTCCAAAGTAAAGAGGCTTCCCTCCCAGCTCAGTGCCCTCTGGCTGCCTCGATCCAGTTTCAACCCCAGCCAGAGAGGGAGGGCCAAGTCCTGTTCCAGACATGGCCTGTCCTCCCAGGAGGCCCAAGCTAAAATGCCTGGGGTAGGCTGGACAGCTTCCCTGCTCCAGGCAACCCTTTCCTCACACCCCCCATAAATGCTGGCTGCGTGGGATGGGAGGAAGTGGCGGGGTTGCCATTTCCCCTAGCTCTGAGGCTGCCCATCTGTTTCCTGGGATAGGACTCCCTGCCCCCATCCACCCTGTCCCGGAAACTCACTTGCTTTGGGTCTATGAGAAAAGGAACTACATGGCTCCCTCCTTTCCCAGGGGGTGGAGACAGAAGCTCTAGCTGCTGCAACCCCTTCCAGGTCTCCCACCCTCAAGGCTCTAGGTGTCTACCTCCTACCAATGATTCTGGGCACACAAGAGGGTAGCCAGTCCCTGACAGCACTGCCCCCAAACCACAGCATCCAGTCTCAAAGCAGCCGTGAGTTTCTCCTCCCTCCCTCCTCTGGTCTGGCTGGCAGTTTCACTGCTTATCCCAGCCTGGAAGGTGGGGTGAGGGGGTGACTTTCTGGGTAGAAGTCTGTGGAACATTAAAAAAAAAAAAAAAAAAGTAAAACAAGCTTTCCCAGACCCCAATGCTGTCCTCACAGTCATCTCTGGGTGAGCAACGCCCCCTGCTGGACATGTCAGATATAGCTGCCTGAGCCACTCTACATTAGGGACTAAGCAGATAAACAAGAAAAAGGCACAGCCTGGGCCTTAACATAACAATGCTGACATAACAATGCTCCCAAAACTATGGCAGATAACATGAGCAATGTCCAAAGTAACCTATGGTTCCACATCAAATCAAACCACAGGGCTGTGGGGTTGTCGTCTATTGGATTTCACGTTGTTTAAGGCTTTGAACTTTTGCCCAAAATATGAAACTGACCGAAATTGAGGTGGCCTAGCCAAGAACGGGGGGCTAGAGTTTCCAACCTCAAAACAATGTGGGGTTCCTTGGGCATCTGCAAACACCTGAGGCAGCAAAGTTTGAAACCAGAGCTGTGGGCAATGAGGAGCCTTTGAGATTTCAGTGCATTTGACAGGACAACCATGGTGTCTAACAAAAGAATAGAACCCTGGTGCTCAGAACCAAGTGAAAATGGGGCAGAGGAGCCCAAGGCACAAGTGGGGGCCGAGAACCTGCTGTATTTACTCAGCCAGCCTCCTTCCCACAGGATCTCACGGGCTCTCAGGGTCAGTGTATAGGAACTCAAACCCCCACCCACAGCATCCTTTCCCCATCTCCCTTCAAATCCTGTCCACATTATCTAATCTAATCTAGCTCCTGCTTACACGGCCCACACACGAACACACCCAGAAGAGCTCCACAAATACCATGATTAAGAAAAAGAAAATCCTGCCAGGCATGGTGGCACATGCTTACAATCCCAGCGAAGCAGGAAGATCACAAGTTCAAGGCTAGTCTCAGCAATTTAGCAAGGCCTTCAGAAATTTAGTGGGACCCTATTCCAAAATAGATAGATAGATAGATAGATAGATAGATAGGACTGGGGAGGGGGTTGGAACTGTAGCTCAGTGGCAGAGCGCTTGCCTAGCATGCGTGAGGCACTGGGTTTGATCCTCAGCACCACATAAAAATAAACAAATAAAGGCATTCTGTCCATCTACAACTACAAAAACAAAAATTTAAAAAAAAAAAAAGGACTGTGGACATAGCTCAGTGGTAAAGCACCCTGAGTTCAATTCCCAGTACAAGAAAATCCCACACACTGAAGAGAAATAGGCTGGTATCATTATACAATAGTTACTATCATTACATGATAGTATAGTAATGATGACTGTCTAATGTCAGAGGCCACTACACTTGTCTAAAGAGGATACTCACCCCAGGAATGTCCAAAAGCTTTGACACCAAAAAAGGCAACTTCAGAGCAGCAACACTTCCGGTGACACCCACAAGAACATGGAATTTTCTCTCCACCAAGGATGCAGCACCTGGACATGATTCCATGTGGGGTCTAATGGCTTAAAATTCTGGGAGCCTGCAAAGCCTGGACTTCATAAAGCTCTGTCAGCATCTAGAGCAGAACAAATGATACCCTTTCACTCACACATTCAACCAAAAGGTATACAGAGAATATCATGTTAGACCCTACACCAGATGCCAGCGAGCCTCAGAGGATCCCCACAGTCCCAGCTTCTGTTAACACAGTATGATTAGAAAGTCAGACCCCCCCCTCCCCCACAGGCCTGTTACAATGTAATGTGGCAAATGCTGTGAAGAAGGGTCATACCAGGTATGGTGACTGTCTCATTGAAAAGACATTCAGGTTGAATCCTGAAGGAGAAACATTTTTTTCCAGAAACAGGAGGAAATGACTTCAAAAGATGGAAAATCTTATAAAGGTGGAAAGACCTGAAAGGAGGTAGGAAGTTGGGAGAACAAAAAGTAGCTCAGTAGTGAGGTTGAAGCGTGATGTAGATATTAGGATAAGGCTGCAAAATCAGGTTGAGGTCAGAATGTCAAGGGCAGTGAGACCCTGGAGTTTTTATTTGAGAAAGATGGTGCTGGTACTGGTGCTGCCAAGAGTGTAGAGGAGGCTGGGGGTGAAAAGATGGAGAGTGAAAGGAACTACTGCAGCAGACCAGGCTGACTGGTCCAAGGGCGTAGTAGTAAGAGATGGAGTCCAAAGATGCTTGTGAGGCAGAACCCTAGGCAACGAGGGGGACTGGGTACTCCCAGGAGTTGAGAGATTTTGGCCTCTATGGCTCTGACTCTGTAGATCAGCCTGAGCACCAACCTACCAAGGAGAAGCAGATGTAGGCCACGCCACGGGACCAGCTAGCTGATTTCCTCCTTTGACTCTCAGATGTTGATAGAAGTAAGTGTTCCTGAATTTGGGGGCAGGCGAGGGAGGTGTCAGGTTTCGGGCCTTGACCTTGGATCCTCCTGTCTTGGCCTCCTAAATAGCTGGGATTAAAAGGGTGGGCTATCACACACAGCTGAGTGTTCATAATAGAACTGAGGGACATACCAAAACCTACATTCTGGCAAGCTGGGCCAGCAAACCACACTCCATCAGCAACAATCACTGAGGACTGAGTTCAACTCTGGGCAAAGGACCTCTAGAAAATACAGCTGCTACCATCAGGGAATCTATAAGTAAGGTTAAGAAGACAGAGATCACACCCAGAATTACTTGAAACAGGTCCTTCTCTACCATGTACCTTTTTGGTCATCACTGACTTAATTTGTATAAGTTTTTTGCCTCTACCTCCAACAGCAAGTTCCCTGCAGTGTGATCATGTTTAACCATCCAGTGCTTTAGTCAGCTTTTTTCATTGCTGTGACCAAAAGACTTGACAAGAACAACTTTAGAGGAGGAAAAGTTTATTTGGGGCTCATGGTTTCAGAGATCTCAGTTCACAGATGGACAAATCCAATCCTCAGGGCCTGAGGGGAGACAGAATATCATGGTGTAAATGTGTGGTAGAGGAAAGCAGCTTGGAACAGGGCACCAGGAAGCACGAAGAGCTCCCCTCACTACAGACAAAATATAATCTGCAAGGGCATGCCCCCATAGACCTAGCTTCTCCAGCCATGCCCTACCTGCCTACAGTTACCACCCAGTTAATTCCTATCAGAGGATTAATGAACTTATTAGGTCAAGGCTCCCATAACCTGATTTCACCTCTAAGCTTTCTCACATTGTCTCACACATGAATTTTGGGGGGACACTTCATATCTAAACCATAACACCCAGTCACTAGCCTACTACCAGGCAGTCCTGAATGTCTGCTGAATGATTGATAAATTGCATGCTGGGGCTGGAGAAGTAGCACACTGGCAGATCACTTGCCTAGCATGCTGGGAATGCTGGATTCAATTCCCAGTATAGTGGGGAGGAGGCTGTACCCTCTAGACACTGTGGCCTGTGAATCAGAAGCCCTGGATCCTGCTCATAGTTATACTTCTGACTTGATATGTAACCTAAGTCTCCTTCATGTGCCAAATGCAGTTAGGATGGGTTTCTCTCTCAAGCTTCCTCCAGTAGAAGCCTGAGTCAATACATAAAAGACAGTGGTAAGGGCTCTTTGTACAAGGGAGAAGGTCTTAAGAAAATGCTCAAAAAGGGCAGAATCAGCAGCATGAGGGAAACCCAACTGACCCAGAGGAAGAACTGGTAAACAGCTGTATTTCTACTGGCTACCTTCATAGCTCCATGGAGTCCTCTCTGCCCAATATTTGCCTTTAACTCTTAGTATATATCCATGTGAGCAGATGATTTTTGGCTCCAGTATCCCACTTCTACATGGAAGGGTCTCCAAGGATTCAGACCCTTCTCAGTAGGGGTTAAGCATAGGCTGGTTTCCTAGAGCAAGACCCCCCAGGGTTCCATTTGCCAGCAATTTCAATTTCTATTTCAGGCCTAGCCAGGGCCATGCTGGCTCAGAGTTGAAGAATTGAGTTCATCTGGGAACTAAAAAGCCCTATTAGCAACTAGCAAGGTCCACAGGGTCTCTAAGCCAGTTTCTTGTCAGAGTACATTGGTGGGTAACAGAAGCACATTCTTGGTTCTTTGGGAAAACCTACCTGCCAGATCTCAAACTCCGACCTAGTTCCACCCTAGCCTATCCTATTAGGACAGGGAGATTCCTGCAAAACCAGAAGTTCAATTACATCTCTGCAGCCCCTGAACCTCCTCTATAAACAAACTGAAAAATTCCTACGAAACAGGCTACAGTAAGCAATCAATTGAAGATGGGCCCAGTGGCACACACCTATAAACCCAGTAACTCAGGAGGCTGAGACAGAAGGATCACAGTTTTAGACCAGCTTCAGCAACTTAGTGAGGCCCTGTCTCAAAATAAAAAATATATATATAAAATTTAAAAAGGGGCTGGGGATATAGCTCAATGGTAAAGTGCCCCTGGGTAACAATCCTCAGTATGGGGCAGGGGCCAGTTGGCAAACAGGTGGGTTATAGTGCTAAAGGCCATGATTACTGGGCCTTAAGGTCCCAGGGCACCAGCCATGCAGGTAACCCACATCCAGAAAAATGGGAGCTTCTATTCCTCCTATCCCCCACCTGCCCCACTTTCTTTTTTTGGCTCTGGGGATTAAAGCTAGGGATGTTTTTACTGCTGAGCTACATCCCCAGCCCTTTTAAAAAATCTGAGACAGGGTCTTGCTAACTGCTAAACTGAGACTGGTCTCAAACCTGCAATCCTCCAGCCTGAGTTGTTGGGATTACAGGCATGCACCACTGTACCTGGCTTTTCTCTTTTAGAAAGATTATCAGAAAGAGCAAGGAGCCTCAGCATGCAATGGCTAAGTCTTCCTCTCTGAGCAGTTTAAATAAAGGGCAAAATGGAAAGATTTCAGGGATATTTGCCAGTAACAACATGGTCAAGAGTAGAACCAGAATAGAACTAGGGCTAAAAAAGGAAGCAAGGTAAGCAAGACAAGACAGGGTATAAGCTGAGCCCAATTCAGGAAAGATGAGGGACTGGAACCTAAGACAAAACAGGCCCAAAGGAAGATGGATAAGCAGGGCTCCTGAAAGGGCTGGGGATGCAGCTCAGTAGTAAAGGCATGTGTAAAGCCCTAAGTTCATTCTTGGCATATTAAAAACAAAAACCCGAATCCTTTAGCCTGCCATCAAAGCCCCTCACTACTGACCTAGGCTGACCTTCTACCAATCAATACACTCTATCATCTACCCCAGCAACAACGAATAACTTGTAGCTTCTCAAAGTGTCACTCTGCACCAAAACCCAAAGAAAAATTAAAACTCTTCTCTAAGCCTAGGTAAGACAAGGAACTCTGCTGGAAACACTCGAAGCCTTGGTATTTCTAATAGAGTACTTTTCTCTCAAACCAGAGATAGGCATGCTTGACTCTGCTGATCCTGAAATTTCCTGTGGGCACCTGTCCAGGAAGCCACATGTTGGAGAGATCCCACACACACTCCAACTATTAGATTGTAGTGACTACTGCTACCTCCCAGCCGCTAAGGCAGATGTAGAAAAGCCCTGCTCCAGGACACCCACCACTGGCCTAACTTGGGAAGCTCTCCTCTTATTGTCTAACAGTTTCCACTATTTCAAAGGACAGCAGGCAGTTCTCTTCTGACAAAATTCGCCCTCGCTCAATTTTTACATGCTATTCAGCATTTTCAGGAGGTTCCTACAGATAAATCCAACACTCTAGAGCTTTCATTTTTCGATTTCACTACCTTTTAAAATACTGTCCGACTGGGCGCGGTGGTGCCTGTAATCCCAGTGATGCTCCTGTCAGGAGCTCGAAAGTTCGAGGCCCCTCTCAGCAATTTAGCTCTGTCAAAGCGCTCCTAGGTTAAATCCCAAATACCTTTTTTTTTTTTTTAAAGTTAATTAATATACGGTTTGCCCTTTGGAAAGTCCTTGCTCCTTTCTTAAAGCAGACTCACATGGCTTTTGTTTTTTTAAAGGTGAGCGTTAAATGCGAGAAATTATAAAGCCTCCTTCTACTGAATTAAACAGCGCAGAACAAAAAATCTCAAGAGTAACGCAAGTCAAAATGAGTGGACACACATGTAGATATATATCCCCCACTCTGGGTTCAGTGGTCCCTATTGCTTCTGCGGGCCCCCACGAGTACCGGTTGGTGAGGTCTCACAGGCTGTATGGGCTGTCTATACGTCCACACGCGGAAATATCCCCCCACAGCTCCACCCCCACGTACACACAGCCGCAAGCACAGTTTCTCCCGCCTCCCCATCGAGTACGCCAAGACCCAGCTTCCCAGCCCCTCCGACTGCTCACCCGCGCCAGACACCGGGCGCGTCTCGTAGGCAGTCACCAAATACCGCGATATCTTGGCTGCCCTTTCCCACAGATCCTGAACGGTACGCAGCCTCACGAGAGCGCACAGAGATTGCACAACCTTCTGGGAGTTGTAGTCTACGCTGAAAATTGTAGTCCACTCCTCTGACTTCTGGGAGTTGTAGTCCACTGAGGGAATAGGACACTCACAGACTCCAAGCTCTTCACTTCTGGAGCTGAGGACTTGCCTAATTGTAGGACTTCCTCACCTTTATCCTCTAAGCCGCTAAGGCAGATGTAGAAAAGCCCTGCTCCAGGACACCCACCATTGGCCTAAATTGGGAAGCTCTCCTCTTATTGTCTAACAGTTTCCAAATATTTCAAAGGACAGCAGGCAGTTCTCTTCTGACAAAATTCGCCCTCGCTCAATTTTATATGCTATCCTACATTCACACACACAATTCAGAACTTAGGCACTTAATATTGAATAGTACCACACCCCTACTGTTTAAGGTGCACAGGATACAGAGATGAATAAGATGTGGCTCTGCTCTTGAGACAAACAGGAACACAATTACAGGATAAGGTTTTCCATGAGGAAACCGAGGGACCTAAGCAACATTCCAGGTAGGAAAGCCCTCTCTACGAAGGAGTCAGTCACTTGAGATGAATCTGGAAGGATGACCAGGATAGATGACCAGAAAGGCACTCCAAGAGGAGGGCAAAGGGAAAACAGCAGGAGAAAGCATGTTGGATGCATTTCCCTACCTTATTCATTTTCCTGCATTCAGGACCTTTGTGTTTATTGAGGCTGCTCAACCAGATACAGGTATCCCACGGTGACAGCTGAGGGACCACTATGCTCTACTCTTTCCCTTGTCCACAGTGAACCATGTGGACCAAACCACCCCTCACCCACTGATCATTCCTATTTCTACTTCCTTCTCAGGAATTCACAGCTTCCTCCTCCTAATAAGCAGAAGGCCTATGTGGCAACTTCAAGGCCTACTCAAAGCTGCCTCAGAGGAAGAACCACACGAAAGTGCATGGCTTGGGCTGGGAATATAGCTCATTTGGTAGAGTGCTTGCCTCACATGTACAAAGCCCTGAGTTCAATCTCCAGCACCAAAAAAAAAAAAAAAAAAAAAAATGCTCGGCTTTTGGTGCTAAGGAATAACTCCACAGATCACCCAACTCACCCATCTCACCTTCACACCTCTGCCCTATGGCCCAAGGTAAGGCTCCATGCAGGCCAACATGAAGACACATGACACAACAGACAGGGTCAAATGTTCCCCTTTATTTTTGTTCACTCAGTTACCACAGATAGACACATTGGCTCAGGCAGATCAACTGCCAGCTAGGGAATGGTTTATGCCTCCCAGAAACAAGGAGGGGCAGTGGGCACCAGGAAAATGCAAAAACAGATCACTGGCTGGCCACAGACCTGAGGATCCCCATAACTGGGCCCTCCTTGACCCACCTCCAAGCCAGACCATCCAGCAGAGAGGGTTCTGTGTCCAACCCCCACTTCTCATCCTGGTTCCCTCCACAGGAAAGTGCATAGTTGCCTAGAAATACAGCCTCCCAGAGACTGAATAAGCTGGGCCAGACGTAGGTAATAGGGTTTCCAAGGACAATGCCAGGCACAGCCATACGGGTCTGAGCCAGTTCAGGGGAAAGGCAGGTAGGACAGGAAATTGATTGAAGGTGGCATCCAACAGGCCATGGATGCCAGGCTAGCAACTGGACCACAGTCTTCCTGGAACTACCAGAGGGATTAAGGGAAAGGGAATCAGAGGACTGGGATCAAGGGGAAGGAAGGGTCTCTTCAGATACCAGGGGCTGTGACAACTGCTCTCCAGAAGGAAAATGATAAGAGAACCAATTATATTTTGTGACCCAAGCCTAAGGGACCATTAGAAAAGAACTTTATGAAGTAGTGGTAGGTCAATGCTCAGAGTGGCCTGCAAAGTGAGGTGTTGAGTTTCAAGGAGGAGCCAGCCTAGAGTGGTCAAGTGGGGTCTGGTTTTCCAATTCATCTAGCCCAGGTGGGCTTCCACTGGAAGAAGAGAGGGTAGGAAATAGGGAGCTGCTCCTTGGGTGAGAACCCAATTCCATCCAGGTCTCATACAGAGTTGAGGCCTCTGCCAGCAATGTTCATCACTGCTTCAAACAAAACAGCCCCTGTTTGGGCCTCTTAGAAGGGGAAAGAGGTGTTAACAGGGTGAAGAATTGCCAAGAACCAAATCCTTTAGACAGAAGGAAGGAAGTTATCTTGATTTAGATGTGGGGTGGGGGATACCTAAACCAAAAACTAAAGCCAAAGCATCTCTTCTTCCCTCCCTGACTAACCAGAAATACCATTTAGGTTCATTGTGCTTACAACAAGGACTGGACCTGTGCACTTTTCCCTGGGCCCCAAGTTCAAGTGCCCAGCACTTTTCTGTGGCCAAGAGCAAGTGAGACTACGAGTGGCATGCTCCTCTCTCATTGGATACTGTCTACCTTCTTCTGGTCTCTCTTCCAGTTCTGGCCCTCTGAGCCCTGTACTTCCTGCCAGACCCAAACAGAACAGCTTTGCTCCAAGGAATCCAGTGGAATCCTATGGTTACTCAGAGATACCTAGAAGCTCCAGTGGAATGAGAATAGCCAGACCTCCCCAGGGACCAATAATTATTTACATGTCTTCTGCTCCAGCACAACTGGAGATGACAAATCCCCACAGAACCAAACTCCTCAGGGAAGGCAGTAAAGCCAGGGTAGAAGAGTCAAGCCCAAGGATTTGAGGGTTGAGAAGGAAGCAGAAGGAAACAGACAGATGGACTCAGAGGCAAGGAGACCAATCCTGTATTGCCATTCCCTGGAATTCAGGTCCCCAGGTGGGCTTTGAATCTCCAGCTGCATACCCCTTCAACATCAGGGCTGAGGCTCAGCTCCCCTCTCAGCTTACTTGAACTGGAAATCAGATCAGATTTGGGAATGTGGGCTTAGTCTTAGAAGCAGATATAACTGGGATACAGCCTTGGCAAAGACAGAAAAGCCACACAGGAAAGAGAAAGAGACCCTGGATGATGGAAGTGAGCACTGGGAATCTGATGGCAGGGAGGAGACAAGGAGAGGAGAAGACTGAGGGAGGAGATCAGATGGATTACGAGAAGCAAGGGAAGCACCCCTGCTTGTCCCCACCTTCCCACCTACCACCATAAGTGCTAAATACTGTTGCTTCCCAATAGGGACAAAAGTGGAAAGTTTCAGCTCATAACCCTGCAGAGGGCGCCAGGCTCCCTGCTTTGCCTCCCCCTGCCCCATAAGGAGTCCCTGGGTCAGGGTCAGAGGGGGCAGCCTGGTGAGGGTGGGGGGGGCTGGTTTAGTTCTAAACATACAGCTAGCACCACAACAAGAGACCTTCACTGCAACTATTTCACAAGGGGACATAGACACAGCTACCACTGCACGGGATAGCTCCACGTGCAACCCACAGCTCTTAAAGATCTAAGAGCAGGAACCAAAAAGTGGGGGCAGGGAATAGACATATACATATATATATAACTCTGATTCTTTGTACAAAGTTGGGGAGGAGGAGAAAAGGGAAGGGGAAACCCTGCTTGTTTACCACAACAGATGCTGTAGCTTGAGCCCCCTGTCCCACTGGCCCCCAGCCCTGCCTCCTGTAGGCTTGGCTGGCTCACATCTCATTGGAGTATGTGTAGTTAGGGGTGGCAGAATACTGAGTCTGCGGCTGATTCATGGCACCCTGGGCTGCCCCCATGGCTGCATTCTGGGCTGCCTGCTGCACATGTGGGTTCTTCCATGCCCCTGTGGTCCATTCCTCCTGAGCTTTGCTGAAACTTCCCCCACTTCCCCGATAGAATTTATGAACCTGTAGAAGAAGGATAAGGAAGAGTTAATCCAAAGAAAGAGGCAGCCTATCCAGGAAACAGATGGGATCCACATGTAAAAACCAGTCCTCCCTCCTGGCCCATGCACTGTGCACCAGTAGGAAAGTCTAGCAGGTAATTCCAGAGTGAGTTAACTTGGAAAACCTCTGGCTCCTCTTGTAATTTGGAAGAAGGATTGTTTCAGATCATAGTCCCTTCCCAAACCCACCCTCTCACCTTTGAGGTGGCCACATACCATGCTGAGGGCGATGAAGGAAAAGACAGCCACGACTGTGAACATGATGGTGGGAATGAGCATCACCACTGCTGAGCCAATGTTTGTCCCGAAGTAGGAGATGGTGGCGATCCAGCCACTGTAAGAAAAGGCCAGCTGTGGGGCTATGCAGACAGAAGGAGGCATACCCAGATACATCCCACTGAGGCAGGGAGCCATTCCATTGCCACAGGGAGGAACCACATCATTGGATGCAGAAGGACTATCTTACTGATATCCAAGGGCCTGTATCAGTGGCTCAGGAAGACCCCTTCCTTAGGGATCAGATACAAGTCTTCCTTCCCTAAGGTTTTCCCACAATGCTTGACACTTCCCAGCTGCCCAGAAACCACTGCCCAATTCTCCTTCCCTTAATTCACTGGTGGTGGCTACTACACTGTCCTGAATCCTTTCACTCTTCCAATAACTAGTCACCCACAGTGTTCTCACAGTCTAGGCAGTTTAGCACACAGAGGTAAGCAAAGGACACACCCAAGGTGTCATTCCTACCAGCCCCAAGCCAGTCCCCTGCCTCTTACCAGACGCCCCAGCCTGGGATGCCCACAGCCTGGATGATGCTGATGACCAGTTGGGCCGTGAAGGTGAAGAAGAATGCCATGAAGCTGAAAGAGCTGTCGGTCCTGCATCAGAGAAGGTGGCCTAAGCAAACAGCCAGGGTTTCCCTGCCTTCAAGGACCCCAAGCCTTTCTAAGTTGAAGTGAATGCATAATGGAGACCTTAATCGAGAGACCAGAATGGGATACCCTTTATCCATAAATCTTTGAATATTTCCATGGGTTTGACCTGTGTATGCAACATTTACACAGGGAGGGGATCTCCTCATGAATAGACCAACCACTGGCACATGGAAGGATGGCCCCATTGGCATAGAAATAGATGGCTTCATTGGGGCAG